GCTCCTGGGAGTGTCCCAGTCCCTTGGTGCCCGAGGCTGAGCAAACCCAGGGCAGGAGCTGCTGCTCCAGGCTTCTTCCTCCTCCTCCTCCTCCTCCTCGTGCCCAGGGGACGGCGTTGGGAACCTTTGTGAGGACGACTTCGACAGGGACATGGTGATCGACAGGATCGACGTCTGCCCCGAGAACGCCGAGGTGACGCTCACCGACTTCAGGGCCTTCCAGACCGTGGTGCTGGACCCCGAGGGGGACGCCCAGATCGACCCCAACTGGATCGTCCTCAACCAGGTGGGGACAGCTCCAGCTGGGAGCGATCCTGGAGGGTTTTCCCTGAAGGGCTCCGTGGCCTCTGTGGTTCTGCAGCGCCCAAATCCCAGTCACAGCCCAGGGGCAGCACAAGAGGGAGTTTGCTGTGTCTGGAATTGCACTGAGGAGTCACAATTCCTCTTTCCCAGGGCATGGAGATTGTCCAGACCATGAACAGCGACCCCGGCCTGGCTGTAGGTGAGGAATTTCCCTTTTCCCTTGGGGAAATCATCCCTCACTGCAGCTTTCATTCCTCCATCCACCATTTCCTCTGGGGCACAGAGCCCAGATTCCCCTGGGCAGAATCCTCCTCCCCAGCCCCATCCCAGCTCTGTTTCCTGCCGGGATGCAGAGTCTCTGTCTCTGCCCTGGCAGGGTACACGGCCTTCAACGGGGTGGACTTCGAGGGCACCTTCCACGTCAACACGGCCACCGACGACGACTACGCCGGCTTCATCTTCGGCTACCAGGACAGCTCCAGCTTCTACGTGGTGATGTGGAAGCAGATGGAGCAAACCTACTGGCAGGCAAATCCCTTCCGGGCAGTGGCGGAGCCGGGGATTCAGCTGAAGGTAAAGGAGCCCTGGGAAGGGAATTCCCGGCTGGGTTTTTGCCCCGGGCTAAGCGGCCGTGTTGAATCCTTCCTGCACACGTTGAGCAGGCTCTCCTCTGTCCCAGGCAGTGAAATCCAAGACGGGCCCTGGGGAATACCTCCGGAATTCCCTGTGGCACACGGGAGACACCATGGACCAGGTGAAGCTGCTCTGGAAAGACCCCAGGAATTCGGGCTGGAAGGACAAGACCTCCTACCGCTGGTTCCTGCAGCACCGGCCCCAGGTCGGCTACATCAGGTGAGGCTCAGGGCAGGAAAATCAACCTCAGGAATCCCAGAATTTGGAAGGGACAATCCCCCTGTCCCAGGCTGCCCCAGCCTCCCCTGGGAGAGCATCCCCGGGCCAGGGGAGCTCCGTCATTCCCGGCCGTGTTCCCCTCCAGGGCTCGGTTCTACGAAGGCCCCGAGGTGGTGGCAGACACCGGAGTTGTCCTGGACACCACCATGAGAGGGGGACGCCTCGGGGTCTTCTGCTTCTCCCAGGAGAACATCATCTGGTCCAACCTCCGCTACCGCTGCAACGGTGAGATCTGGAATTCTCCTCCCTTTTCCACCCCTCCACGGGAAAGGGGCAGGGAACGGGAGCCCGTTCTGCCCTGCTGTTCCTGCCCCTGATCTCTCCTTGCTCCAATCCTCAGACACCATCCCAGAGGACTACGAGACGTTCCGGGTCCAGCAGGACTAATCCCACGGAACGTCCCTGCAGCCCGTCCTGCTTCCCACGCCGTGCTCGGCCACCCCGCTCCCGCTCTGGAATCCTGCCCCAAGAGCTGTCAGCACCTCCCACCGCGCCCTCACCGCCTCCAGCTCCCCTTCCCCAACAGCAAATCCCTGAAAATGTTACACGAATCCTCTGGGAAGGGCAGAGGTGGAGACAGGGAGTGTGACCAGAAGCCTGAGCTGCCGCAAGCCCCGGCTCAGGCCGCGCTGGGAGCTCCCTGCGGCAGCTGCGATGCTTGGGGGAGGTTTGGCGTGGATGATTCCCAGGAATCTTCTCCCTGCTCCCAGGCTCCCGAGTGTGAATGTTTTCCTTTTCGAGACCTGCTGCAAAGCAAACCCAGCACGAGTCTGAGAAGGACGCGCGGAGCAGCCTCGGTCCGAGCTGCTCATTTTCACACGTGAAAAAAGCACTTTAAGGAGAGAATCTTTGCTCTGGAATGTTGGAGAATGAACACTTGGAATGCTGGATAATAAATTCTAGATTTCTCCTTGGTCATGAATGTGTTCTCTCCACTCTCCCGAAGCTTTTCCCTTGCAGATGTGGAAGGGAGGAACCCTCAGGGCTGAGCTCGGTGGGGCTGGATTGGGAATTCTCCTGGAAATGCCAAGGCAGGGAGGCACCATTTCCTCAAGAACCTCCCTGTCCTTAGCCCTGCCCTGCCTGGTTCCTGCTGGGACATCCCAAACCCAGCTGGGGCCAACCCAAACCCAGCTGGGGCCAACCCAAACCCACCTGGGGCCAACCCAAACCCACCTGGAACATCCCAAACCCACCTGGGAACACCCCAAACCCACCTGGAACACCCCAAACCCACCTGGGGCCAACCCAAACCCACCTGGAACATCCCAAACCCACCTGGAACATCCCAAACCCACCTGGGGCCAACCCAAACCCACCTGGAACACCCCAAACCCACCTGGGGCCACCCCAAACCCACCTGGAACACCCCAAACCCACCTGGAACACCCCAAACCCACCTGGAACATCCCAAACCCACCTGGACACGCTCCTGTGTCCCTGCCTTGGGTGGGCTGTGGGATATCCAGAGGGACCCCAACAATCCCGGGATCTGGGATCCTCGGGGTGTTCTGTGCCGAGGATCCCTGTGGGTCCAACTGGGGCCATTCCAGGATTCCAGAGCTGGAATTCCAGGATTCAAACTCAACCCCCTGCTCTTCATTCCCAGGAATAATTCCCACACGGCCCAGCTGCATTTGGGATCCTCTCCCTTTTTTCCAAGGGATTTTCTCCCTTTTTTTCCATGGGATCCTCTCTCCTTTTTTCCACAAGTTTTTCCCCTTTTTTCCACAAGATTTTCTCCCTTTTTTCCACAGGATTTCTCCCTTTTTTCCAAGGGATTTTCTCCCTTTTTTTCCATGGGATCCTCTTTTTTTCCACAGGATTTTCTCCTTTTTTTCCACAGGATTTTCTCCCTTTTTTCCACAGGATTTTCTCCCTTTTTTCCACAAGATTTCTCCCTTTTTTCCACAGGATTTTCTCCTTTTTTCCACAAGTTTTTCTCCTTTTTTTCCACAGGATTTTCTCCCTTTTTTCCACAGGATTTTCTCCCTTTTTCCACGGGATCCTCTCCCTTTTTTCCCCCGCTCTCCCCATCCCACCCTCCACCCCCTGAAGACAAGAGCCAGCGGATTTTACCCCTTCAGGCCTTTATTTTGATAAAATTGGTCAAGCCCACATAAGGCAACGCACACACGGCTCCGCCCGCCCCCCGCCCGCCCCAACCGCCTCGGAAAATAAATAACACAAACCAAGAGAGGACTCCATGTAGTGTTTGGCTTTGCAGTATAGAAATTCCACACAATGATTCTGTTGTGTTGCTGTCGTTAATTATTTTTTTGTTTGTTTGTTTTGTTTTTAGGTTTTTTTTTTTTCCCTGTTTAAAAAGGTAAAAATGATTTATAATACACAGTCAGAATGTCGTGGTGCCCGCATAGAAAACCGACATGCAATCCATGCCTACACTGCGCCGTATAAATAAGATGCAACTCAAAATACAAAGAACAGGAACACTACAAAGTTTAATTCTAAGAGGGAGGGAGGGGTTGTTTTTTTTTTTAGGGTTTTGGTTTTTTTTTTTTTTCCTTTTTCCTGGTTGTTTTTTAAAAAGGACAGACACACGTAACAAAGGCTACCTGCGCTTTCACATTGCCATCACAGTGACGGGGGGGGCGTTGCTCCGAGGAATAAACGCGCTGGTTTTGGGGTTTCTCCCGAAAAAAAACAGCCAAGGTTGGGATCTGCGGGGAGAGGAGGGGCCTTCCTGCTTCCTTCGTGTCCAGAGGGGGTTCCAGGGTCTTTCCTTAGGGAACAGCTCAAGCCTGAATTGTTGTTTTGACAGAAATCTGAGGTTTTAGGACTGAGGGTTTGTGTTGGAGGGAAATTTAGGTGAATTCTTTTAGATAAACTCAGGGCAGCTTTTGCTCTTGGAATCACAGAATTGAGGTTGGGAAAGAGCCGCCGAAGCAGGGATGGAAAAGAATCACTGAATTAAGGAAATGAACCTAAATCTAGTCTGGAACAGAATCATCAAATTGGGGCTGGAAAAGACCTCCAGGGAACCAGCAAAGCCAGCCTCCCCCTGAGCTGAGGCTCACCCAGGAGCGCTCGTGAAAGTGAATTCATCAAACAATGTGTGAAAGCTCCACGAAACCAAGAACTGCACAGCCCCTGCTGGAAACGCTTCCCCCTCTTGAAAATGGGGCAGAGCCCGGCCCCGGGGCTGTGTGTGTGTGTGGGGCACTGTGTGGGGCACTGTGTGTGTGTGGGGCAGTGTGTGTGTGTGTGGGGCAGTGTGTGTGTGTGCAGGGCACTGTGTGTACATGTGGGGCACTGTGTGTGTGTATGGGGCAGTGTGTGACACTGTGTGTACATGTGGGGCAGTGTGTGTGTGTGGGGCAGTGTGTGACACTGTGTACAGGTGGGGCAGTGTGTGACACTGTGTACATGTGAGGCAGTGTGTGACACTGTGTGTGTGTGTATGGGACAGTGTGTGACACTGTGTACATGTGGGGCAGTGTGTGGGGCACTGTGTGTATGGGGCAGTGTGTACATGTGTGACACTGTGTGTACATGTGGGACAGTGTGTGACACTGTGTACATGTGGGGCAGTGTGTGACACTGTGTGTACATGTGGGACAGTGTGTGACACTGTGTACATGTGGGGCAGTGTGTGACACTGTGTACATGTGGGGCACTGTGTGTACATGTGGGGCAGTGTGTGACACTGTGTACATGTGGGGCAGTGTGTGACACTGTGTGTACAGGTGGGGCAGTGTGTGGGGCAGTGTGTGTGT